ACGCCCAAAGCCAACTGTTCAGCGCGGGGCGGGGTGGGGTGGGGGGACCCTGGGGACAACTGAGACGCCCAGGCCACCTGTTCAGCGCGGGGTGGGGTGGGGACCCTGCCACCAGGGCACCTTCTTCTCATGTGGCCTATTTCTGATCCGCGGGACCCTCCCTGCTTCACCTGTGCAACACTCTTAACTTCAGGGCTTCAGTCTGTCTACAGCCATCCTCGTGATTGTTCTTGCCACTACTAAAACAGTAAAATTCAAATGTTTATCCCTAAAAAATCGTTAGTGCTGTTCAAAAGAGACTTAATTTAGTGCAAGTCCAGCCCAAAATACTAGTTTGGCTGGTCCTTTTTATTTTTACGTGTATGAAATAAACGACTCCCAGAAAAGTCTGATACTGTCAAGCAGAATTTAAATTTTCTTACAGGATTAAAAATAAGATCTTTTAAAGTAGAATCTTTCTGTAAGATCTCTTGGTCATGTCTTGTTGTAAGATCTACAGATGATTGACATTGCATCTGCCCTCTTTTTTTTCCACATTTTTTCATTGTTTCTTTACCATGGAGTTAAAGACTGCTGTTCCTGTTTTGTTTTTGTTGTGTTTTTTTGTTTGTTTGTTTGTTTGTTTGTTTTTGTGGTGCTGGGGATTGAACCCAGGGTCTTGTGCATGGAGGCAAGCACTCTACCAACTGAGCTCTATCCCCAGCCCCAGAATGTTGTTCTTTGTAAACTTGTTATCATTTCTTTAATGGAATCTTTATATAATTCGGTACAGTACCTTTGTGCACTATGACCATCAGCCCATCAGATAATTCCTGTTTATCCAGAGGGTGTTCAGATGGTTCCCAAAGGGACATGTAAATTCTGTGTGGTGACCTACAGCATCCTGGATGGTCCAAAATTATCAAATTCAGTCTTTTGGGGGAAGGGACATTCCTGTACTATCATTGTCTCAAGCAAATAAAATAAGAATAGCTTCTTGGATCAGAGGATAAAATGTGTGTATTCTACAAAATGAAGAACTGCCTTGATTGATAATTTATCTATTGCTCATCAGCCTCCTGGGCCCAGAGTTCACTACTTAAAAACAAATACTTAGCTGGGCACAGTGGTGCAAGCCTGTAACCCCAGCGGCTTCTCTGCTTCTCCAGAGGCTGAGGCAGGAGGAT